CGGGAGGAAGCTGAGAAGGGAGAGCAGGAGCAGCTCGTGAAACCTCCCCGGAGACACCCTTTCCCCGACTGCGGCCAACGCCTGCCAGCCAACCCAGAGGAGCCGGCAGGGCCCGGGAGGCAAAGGAGGTGCCTTCCGGGGGGCAGGGGGCTGCAGGTTCAGCCCAGGGAGGACGTTGCCCAGGACCCCCGCAGAGAATCCACGGGCACCGCACCCTCCTCCCTCCGCCGAAGCAGGCTCCGTGATCGGCTGGTGGCCGCAGCGTGGAAGTCGGCCACGGCCATGCCACACCTCCCACTTCTCACTCACCGACCCTCCTGCGCTTGCACGAACCCCCAGAAGTCAAGCCCGTCTTCGGTCAAGGTGCCGGTCTGCAAGGAAGGCCCCGTCCTGGTTAGGGGGTCCGAGAAGACCCAGCCCCTTCCCCTCTCTCTGGGGAAGCCGGGGCAGAAGTACCTTGTCAAAGCACATCAGGTTGACCTGCCCACAAAGATTGATCCGCTGGGGGCTGATGGAGAAAATCTGCTTCTGGCGCAGGCGCCGCTGGGCATACACCACCCCAGCTGTCATGGCCGCTGGCAAGGCAGGGGGCACCGTGATGGTGAGGATGTCAAGGGATTCCAACACAATACGGCCAACGGGCTCCTGGCGAGGAGGGAGAAGGGTAGGCCCTTCGGTTAGTGCCCCCCCATGCAAACTTCTGGAGATGCCCAGTTGCCACTGCACCCTGATGCTGCCAGTCTTCAGAACAGGGAGCTGGGGACCCCCTTGAGGGCCCCCCACCCTCTCCTCTCCTCTCCCCTCCCCCTGCCAGCCGTGTGCAAGGAGGATTCCTCAGACGCAGCAGCAACTGACCCAGCGCCCCTCCCGCCCCACTGCGCCACCCTCTGCACGGGCACCCACCGCCTGCTGAATGCTGCGAATCACGGAATAAAGCATGCCGATTCCAGCCACGCCAACCAGGCAGAGGAGGAAGCGGAAAGCGTCTCGGTAGAGGCGGAAGTCAGTGGGCTTCGGGAACAGGATGGAGCAAACCAACTGCCCCTTGGAGGTGCAGAAACCTGCAGAAAGAAGGGCTGACGTTTGGACCGCGGAGGAGGAGGGGCCTTTCCACCCCCGCTGCCCCCCGGGCATCCTGAGGCAAGGACGGGCTTTGGCCCACAGCGGCCGTTACCTGTCCGGATCACCAGCGCCCGTACCGGCTCCCCGGAGTAGTACCGCGTTTGGATTACGGAGGTACCGCAGAAGAGCGTGTGCCGTTTATGTTCTTCTGGGTCGTAATCTGGGTCCTGGAGGGGCCCACTGGCTCCCTGGGCCGGGACAGGCAAGGACGTCTTGGTAACCGGGACGCTTTCCCCTGCGACGGAGAAAGACCAGATGCCAGAAAGAGGCGGGCTTCCCGGCCGCCCCGGGGCCACAGCCTCTGCCCCTACCTGTCAGCATGCTCTCGTTGGCGATGGCCGTCCCGCTCAGCAGCACCGCGTCGCACGGCATGGTGAGTCCCTCGGGAGGCACCAGCAGAACATCCCCCGGCACCAGCTCCGTGGAAAATATGGCTTCCGTCTCTGCAAGGAACCGAGGCAAGCCTCCAGCTTCAGGCCGCCTGCGCCGCTCACCCCCTCGGCCTGAACTGGAGGCTGAGTGGCCTTGGGCCGCTGACTGCAGCCAGCGGCTCCATCCCAACCACAGCCCAAAGGGGGCCCGGGGCAACGCCGGCGAGGGCCCTTGTCTGACACCCACTGGCACTTCCCCACGCAGGCGGAGGCTCAGAGATCCTGGGCTGACTCACCGCAGGGCCCCCGATAGACTGTCACCTGGATGATGTTGTGGGCAGCGACCATGCTGTGCAGCAGGACGTATTGCTGGAAGAGGAAGGGCTGGCATTAGTGGCCTCTCCTCCCCCCAGTTTTGTTCCCCCAGCCGGGGCCACCTCTGCAAGGGTTCGCAGCGTGGCCCTTCCCCGCCTGGCCCTTACCTTCCGGATGGTATAGAGAGAGGAGCAGATGGAGACGAAGGACATGAAGAGGATAGTGGAGGCGTACAGGTAATAATCATCCAGGGACCACAGCAGGATGCTGAAGGCTTGGAAAATGTAGAAAGGGTTCAGGACCTGGGGAGGGAGGAAATCCGGCCGGGAGTCAGGCTCACGCTTGCGGCTCTGGGGCCATCTCTCCCCTTCTGCCCTCTGACTCACCTCTCTGATGAGGAGGTGGGCGAGGGAAGGCACTTGGACGTCAATCTGGTTGGCGCCGTAGAAAAGCTTGCTGGGAAGAGAAGCGGCAAGAATAGGCGCTCACAGCCCCCCAAGCAACCCCCCCGCCCGCCCGGCTCCGGAGCCGCCTTCTCACCGGTAGTCTTGGGTGCTGCGAGCCAGCCCCCCGCCATGGCTGGAGC